TAAAACACAGGTAAACATCTTTCTGGTATTGTCTGCTTTCAGCCAGGATCCATCTGACATCAGCAATGATATCCCTGGTTCCATGTCCTCTTCTGAATCCGGCCTGAATTTCTGGCAGTTCCCTGTCGATATACTGCTGCAGCCGCTTTTGAATGATCTTCAGCAAAATTTTACTTGCATATGATATTAATAATATTGTTCGATAATTTCCGCATTCAGTTGGATCACTTTTCTTGGGAATAGGCATAAATATGGAACTCTTCCAGTCAGTTGGCCAGATAGCTGTCTTCCAAATTTCTTGGCATAGACGAGTGAGCACTTCTAGCGCTGCATCCATTTGTTGAAACATCTCAGTTGATATTCCATCAATTCCTGGAGCCCTGTTTTTCGCCAGTGCCTTCAGTGCAGCTTAGACTTCTTCCTTCAATATCATTGGTTCCTGATGATATGCTACCTCTTGAAATGGCTGAACGTCGACTAATATTTAATTATATTCTAATATTTAATCTAATATTTAGTTATATCAGATTAATTAAATGTGAGCATATTGCTTTGCCCTCTTTCACCTTCTAGGTTTTTTTTTTCAAACCCTCGCTGGGAAGAACTGTGACTGTATATTACATGTTGTTACTGTGTGCTGTTGATTCGAGTTAACTCTGACTCATAGCAACCCTACAGGACAGAGTAGAACTGCCACGTAGGGTTTCCAAGGCTGTAATCTTTACAGAAGCAGACTGCCACATCTTTCTCCGGCAGAGCTGCTGGTGAGTTTGAACTGCCAGCCTTTCGGTTAGCAGCTGAGTGCCTAGCCATTATGCCACCAGGGCTCTGGCATATTACTCCATAGCTGTCACTATATTCTGTAAGCTTCACAAGGGCCGAGTCCTGTCTGTTGGGCTTGTTGATGTATCACCAGCCCTTGGTACTTAGTAAGAGTGACTGAATGGTTGTCAGGAGACGGCTCCTGGGATTGGCACAAGCAAATCTGGGTGGAGGATGACTGTGCTGTATGCCTTTGTCTGCAATAACCACTGACTGCCAGCAGGTGTCAGTAAGAGCACGTGTCTAAGCAACACTCCTGGGAGGAGGTGAAATCTCTGAACTGAGAACAGGAATAGCTTTCACTGTAATGCAACAGTAAAACACTCCATTGGCATGCAAATTAAGCAAAATAAAGCATAGCACTACCCAGAGCAAAGGAGAAGAAAACATAAATAAACTCCTGTGTAATTGTCTACGTCACCCAGCGCTGGGAGCCTGCCACTGGGGCTCACTAGCTTAATTCAGAGCCCTGTCCAGCTGCCAGGATCAGGAAGGCGTTCAGAGGAGCCCAGATAAAGAGGGGTTTGTCATCTGCACACAGGGGCCTCTCAGGGAGCCCAGATCAGGAAGTACAGCGGCCTCCCGGGAACCGGAAAGCTGTTGGGCAGCTCTTCTGTCTGGGGCTGGCTCTTCTCACTGGGCAGCTCTGGAGTTTTCTCTGGGGCTGGCTCCCACTGCAAGGCCTGTGGCCATAACGCCAGCCTTCTGGGGTACCGCTGAGTGACCTTAGGGCTCCAGGACCAGACACCGTCTGACTCATCACCCTGTCTGGGTCTCTGTGGCCAAATCCTCCATTCCCTCAGCCCCCGCTGGCAGCGGCCAGACTGGGGTCCATTCAGCTGAGACGAGGGGTCTGGAATCAGTGTGCCACCTTTGCTACAGGTGGGAAAGGTGTGCTTTCCCACCAGGGAGCCAGACTTGGCCTTCGTGCCTCTCTGTCAAGACTGAACATTAGCCTTGTGGATAGAGGGCTAAAGGGAAGGCAAGGACAGAGCTATGCTAAACATTTTTCTCCACTTCAAAAAAAAAAGAAAGTTGCTGTCAGGTCGACTCCAACTCATTTGTGTCAGAGTAGAGCTGCGCTCCATGGGGTTTTCAGAAAGTGGCTGATTTGTTGGAAGCAGATCACCAGGTCTTTCTTCCAAGGTGCCTCTGGGTAGACTTGAACCCCTGACCTTTTAGTTAGCAGCCAAGTGCATTAACCGTTTACACCACTCAGGGTCATGTACGAAGGATACAAAGTATAAGTTTATAAGAAACTGTCAAAACTGTTTTCCCAAGTCACTTACCACTTGACATTCCCTGGCGGCACAAACGGTTAAGCACTTGGCTGCTAACTGAAAAGTTGGTGGTTTGAACCCACCCAGCGGTTGTGTGGGAGAAAGACCTGGCAATCTGCTTCATAAAGATTTACAGCCTAGAAAACCCAATGGGGCAGTTCTCCTCTGTTACATGGGGTTGCTATGAATTGGAATTCAACAGCACACGACACCATCATGTATGTTTCTGTTGTTTTTCCACAAACAAGTTACATTCTTCAGACACTGTTCGGCAATCTTGCTTTATCACTTAAGGAGGCCTTGGAAGTGATTCCAGCACCAGAATGTATAAATCTACCTTCTTTTTTACAGCTGCATACTATTCCACCCTGTTGATTAATGGTAATTCATTTCCAATCTTTTGCTGTTATAAACACAACCAGCTAATGTTCTACCAAAGCCATCTGCCATCATTGACGGACTCCGACTCACGGTGACCCCATGTGTATCAGAGTAGAACTGTGCTCCATAAGGTTTTCAATGGATGTGACCTTTTGGAAGTAGATCACCAGGCCTTTCTTCCAGGGCATCTTTGGGTAGACTCAAACCTCCAACCTTTCAGTTAGCAGCCGAGTGGGTTCATCGTTTTGCACCCACTATCCCACTTCTCCAGGTCTCTGACCAGCCACTCGATCTGTCTCCCCAGATGAGCCTAGCCAGCCTGGACTCGGAGACCCCACTGGCTTTGGGCCTGAACCTGTCACATCTGGGCCTGCTTGAGCACATCCTGGAGCTGCGGCCAGCACTGGAACTTCCCAGGGGCCAGGTCCGCTATGTCATTGCCCATGGCAATGAGCAGGGCTTCTTCCGTATGCATCACCTCCGAGGCGTTAGTGCCCTGCGGTTGGGCTGTCAGAGGCCAGCGCCAGGAACCTACTGGCTGGAGGTGGTGAGCGTAGCAGGGCCCTCAGGCACCAGGCCCAAGGGCCGGCCAGGGCTGGGGGGCCGGGCCTTGCGGCTGAAGGTGCAACTGCAGCTGCTCTAGGTGGGAGGAGGCCACACCTCCTGCCTGGTCCCAGGCCCCTCTCCAGCCACGACATGGGCACTGCCCAACCTGCCTCTTTCCATGGGGGTCTTGGGGGACTCCGACTTCACTGCTCATCGCAGACCCTGGGTATGAGCCCTGCCACAATGGGCCCCCATACTGGGGTCCTCCCCAGGGCTAAGAGGTTCTGGCGCTGGGAGGGATTGATCGCCAGTCACCAGGGCTGACCAGGTCGGATTCAGAACTCAGGAGGAGTGAGAGACTCTGATCTCAGGCGAGCCCAGCCTCTGTCTAGCCCTCCACATCAGCCCAGGGGACCCCAGCCCCATCTTTCCTGGAGATAGCTGGAAGACGGCCTGCACCCTCCAGCCCAACAACCAGGGCCGAGAGGGGCCTGTATTCACTGTACCCGGGTCAGGCTCAGTTTCAACTTCTGCTCTGCACTGTGGCTCGCCCCTGGGGGGGACCGGCCGACAAAGCAGGCGATGGGGGAGAGCGGGACACTTCCTTGGAAGCCTACGGGGCCCTGACCAGCGTTGGGAACATGCATTGCACCCCTGTGTGTCCCTGGCGAGGCTGGCCTGGGGTTCCGAGGATGGTTTTATTTCGGAAGCAAAGACAACAATAAAGTTATTTTGCGTTAAATCCATGCCCTGGCAAGTTCTTGATGTACATATGGGCTGGCCAAGCACGGGAGAGCCAAGGCCCCGGTTCAGCACCTGCAGCCCTAGAAGGGCTGAAGCTTCAGGAGGGGAGGAACTTCAACCTGGGCTCCAAGGAGGGAGCTTGCAGGTGAAAGGAAGAGGAAGACATCTGCCACCTGGGGGTGGGGGAGAGTGGACTGTGCCGACTTGTGAGCTGGGCTCATGGCCAGAGCAGGCTGTGAGCGGTGACCACGGGGACCCTTCTAGCTTCACTAATAATAACGGCTGCTGCTTCCTGACCACGTGGCACATACCAGGCATCATTCTGAGTGTTTCACAATTACTGAGTCGTTTGACCCTCCCTACAGCTCCACGAGGAATCCCTCTGGGTGGTGCAAACGGCACTCAGCTGCTAGCCAAAATGTTGGCAGTTCGAACCCACCCAGAGACACCTTGAAAGAAAGGTGTGGTGATGTACTGAAAAAATCAGCCATTGAAACCCTATGGAGCACAGTTCTACTCTGACACACACGGGGTCGCCACTGAGTCGGAGTCAACTGGTCGGCAACTGGTACATCCCCATGATGAGGCAGTGGTGGTTCAGTGGTAGAAGTCTCACCTCCCATGTGGGAGACGCGAGTTCGATTCCTGGCCAGTGCACCTCCTGCGCAGCCACTATCGTCTGTCAGTGGTGGCTTTCGTGTTGCTAAAATGAACAGGTTTCAGCAGAGCTTCCAGACTAGGACAGACTAAGAAGAAAGACCTGGTGATCGACTGCAGAAAATCAACCAATAAAAACCCTGTGGAGCACAACAGTCTGATCCCTGACTGATCATGGGGATGGTGTAGGACCAGGCAGCATTTCGTTCCATTGTCCCCATGGGGTCGCCATGCGTCAGGGCTGACTTGATGGCAGCTAACAACACAGCCCCATGAAGGAGATGCTGTTATCATCCCCATTTTACAGATGGGAAAACTTAGTCTTAGGTTAAGACAACTGCTCAAGGTCTGTCCAGCTGGTAGAGCCAGGGTCCGTGCCTCAACCATCATACCATACCCCCTGGCTCCTGTTTGGACCAGGTCTCACAAGTATCTTCTCCTGCATAGTCCCCAGCTCTGTGGCCAGGACACTCATCCTCCTAATAGCTAACATGCAGTGAGTGTGTACTGTGTGCTGTGCACGTCACAAACGGTAACACCTTCTGTCTCCACAAAGCCCCTGTGAGGCAGGTGTTACCATCACTCCTCCCATTTTACAGGAGGGAAAACCGACGCTTAGAGAGTTGGTGGAACCTGCCCACGTAGTGTGTGGTGGTGCCTGGTTGTGACCCAGGCTCCTCTGAGTCTGCACCCTGGCCCCAAACCGCCACTTGTCCTCCAGAGATGTTGCATTTGGTTTTGTTGTTGACTTTTTTTTTTTTTTTCCAGAGTAAAAATGTATATAACAAAACATTTGCCAATTTAACCATTTTTGCATGTATAATTCGGTAACAGTAGTTCCGTTCATCGTGGTGTGTAACCATCGTCACTATCCTTTTCCAAATTTTTCCACCCTCATTAACAGAAACTCAGTGCCCCCAAAGCAATGACTCCCCCTCTCCCCTCCCACCCACTGTTGGTAATCTGAATAAGCTTCGGTCTCTAGAAAACGAAAAACCCAACCCGTTAGCTGTCAAGCTGAGTCTAACTCATGGTGACCCCGTGTGTGAGAGTAGACTTGCTTCATAGGGTTTTCTTGGCTGTCATTTTTATGGAAGCAGATTGCCAGGCCTTCCTTCTGAAGTACCGCTGGGTGGGTTCGAATCACCGGCCTTTAGGTTAGTAGTCGAGCGCAAACCATTAGCACTATACCTTCGCCTATTTCATATAAGTGGGACCATACAGTATCTGTGCATTGCATTTGGCTTTCAACCAGAACATCCTCTGTTGTTGGGGAAGCTGAGGTGTGTGAGGATGGTGGGGGGTGGGTTGCAAGTCTGGGTGAATGACTCTCCCCAGAGGACCTGCCTCAACCCACACAACAGTCTCTAGTGCCTGGCCACAGGGCTCTATGCTTGGCCCAGCCCTGGCCAATCTTCCTCTCAGTGGGTCTGGGCAGCCTCTCAGAGCTGTGAGGGCTTCTCTGTCCATTCTCTGGCCTCAGCACGGCCCCAGGATGGGGGCAGAGCAGACACGCTGATCCCCATTTTACAGACAAGGAAAGAGACGCCCAGGGAACCAGCGATGTACCCAAGGTCACCAGCAGGGAGTTGCGGGGCTGGACTCACATTCGGCCCCTTGGACTGTCCCTGTGAAGGCTGGGGGTGCAGATCTGGGGCAGGGGGGATCACATGGAATCCTGAACATGTCCCCAAACCGGGGTAGTAACTTGACAGGGACAAATATGGCACCCCCACCAGAGATTTATTTTAAAACTAAAGCAAACGGGAAATACTTCAGTTATTGGCAGGGCAGCTTCAGGTCCAACTATATCCAGGGGCTCAAAAAGCATTGCTTCAGTTCTTATCTATTTCTGGAAAAGCACATCCTGGGAGGGATTCCTTGGACCAACAAGAGCTTTGCAAGGGTCCAGTGGGACGCAGGCAGGCGTGACCCTGGGCTGGTGGCAGAGGCTACTGGTAGACGATGCATCCTGAAGACTCTTCTCTGCAAGGCCCACTCCTCAGGGGTGACTCTGGTCCCTGGGGCAGGCAAGGGGCTTGAAACAAGGCCAGGTCCCTCCTTCCAGCTGCCCAAGGGCAGGAGGTGGTGGGGGCGGAGGGGAGCAGACCAACGAAGTGCAGGGGTTGAGGTCTGGCCTGAAGGACTCGGAGGGGCTGGGGCAGCTGGGGCCACAGGGTGGTGATGGTAGAGAAAGGTCCAGCCCCTCTTGTGTGGCTGATCCTGGAGATGTGCGGGGTCACGGTCCTACAGGAGAGATCAGAGAAGCTGGCAGGTGATGGGTACCAGAGTGGAATCGGGGACCCACCTGGCATTTCATTTCAGCCCTTGCTGAAGCCCCTCCTGGTTGGGTGCCTGAGTCAGGGTGGTGGACACTCACACCTAGCACCGCAGTACCCGGGCCTCCTTGGTCCTACAGGTGAATCCCCTGACCCAGTCTGGGGTGAACATACGCCCTCATCCCCCAGCAGAGGTGACAGGTGCAGAGAGGGGCACACGCGCAAGGGTCCTTGCCTAGATTAGCTGCAGTCAGGAAGGAGGCATTCGTTCCTCTTGCTGCTTTTGCCGGGGTTGCTAAGCTTGGAGGCCAGGAGGTTGGAGGGTTCAGGACTCAACTTCTTCACCTCAGAGTGAGAGACTGTCCAAGAGATTGAGACAGAAATAGATAAGAGCTCTAGCAACACCCTTTGAGCCCCTGGATCCAGCTGGACCTGAAGCCACATTGCCAATAACCCATCCGCCAATAATTGATGAATTCCCCATTTGCTTCAGTTTCCGATTCCGGCACCTGAAAGTGTCTTGGCTGAAAGAGCTAGACGATTACTCGGTCACTCAGTCCCCCACTCACCAGCCACTGGCCCTCTTTGGGGTGGGGGCAGCTGCCAGCATGCTGTGCTCCAAGTCCCTCCATTGGGCGCAGAAGCACAGGTACCCATGGGCACGGGGACTGGGGTCCCACACACCTCGGAGGGTTCTCCGGGCGCCATGGCGGATCTTTTGGGGCTTCTTGTTCAGTGCGTCCAAGTGCTTCATGCCATCCTGCACCCATTTCGCCTGTGGGTTCCCGCACACCGTCTTTAATCTCTTTATTCTCCGGGGGAAGAAGAAACTGTGGCGGGTGGGGACGGGAGACAAGGTTAGCGTGTAAGGGGGGGTGCCAAGTTGTGTGTGAGCCATCCGCCCAGCCCCCACGGCCCCACTCACATCACGGCAGGCAGGTTGCAGCTCCCACTCACTTCCTGGCGCCGGTAACCCTGGGCGTGTCGGAACACAGCCCGTGCAACGTGGTGGTGTCTGTGGTAAGCCAGGCAGCAGTCCTCAAAGGCGCCTGCAACCACACCACCGCACCTCTGTTGGCGTCTGCGTACGCGCATGTGTGGCTGTGCGTGCCACCCACGCACAAGGCCACGGTGCATCCTGGTTCGGGCACATACCGAGACCCTCCCAGGCCGGGCAAAAGCAACGGGGCAGTCCTAGCAGTAAGGAAACCACCGGCTCACCCTTAGCCCTTGAAATCAGAACGGCTAGCAGGTTGGAGAGGCCCTCAGGCCCCGGATGGGAACGGCACGATGTCACCGAATGAACCGGAGACCAGGGCCACTTGGGCTCCTGCTCCAGGGCAGAGGGCAGCGGACGGCAGGTACAGCACCCTGAGCAGCGTCCATCTCGCCCCACCTTGAGGTTGTTGTTGATTGC